AGCTGCTCTGCTGGGCTGCCAGAATCTCCCAGCTGTGTCAGCCTCCGGTCCCCGCCCCAGGGCCCGCTCCGGCGTGGCCCAGACTGCAGGGAGTCAGTGGCACACACGGGTCTCGTGATGTCGTCCAGCGTCTTGCCCACGGTCAGTCGTGATGGGATTGTGGTCCGGGGCAGACCCCCAGCCCAGAAGCGTGGGCTGGAACCGGTACCCGACCCCACCACACCAGGCCGGGCCGCTGACGACTTAAACGCAGTTTAAGCAGGTAACATTTTAAATGGGATTTTATGTCCCTACTAGAGACTCCACCAGCACAGCCCCGGGTGCCATAATGCTAATGATCCGCTAGCAGCCGAGGCCAGCGGTCGAGAGGGGTAACGGTGTCCCGTCTCCCCCCAGTGCTCGCAGCCTCCCATGTCCAGCCATTGGTAACTCAGCAACAGGAGAGCGACTGACAACACGCGGTGTCATAAGACACCTCGCTCTTAATAGTCCTTTGTCGATCACAGGGCCTTTCACAGAGTGTGACTATCACAACCCCCATTCGTACACAAGGGGAAAACGAGGCACAGATAGGCGACGTGGCTTAGGCAATGTCACCTGGCAGGCCAATGGCTGAGTCAGTCAGGAGCCTCTGGTCTCCTGTGTCCCAGGCCAGTGCTCTACCCACTAGGCTTCACTATCTCAGCCTTGGGTTGGGACCAAGCCATGCAGGAGCCCTGCTGGGTCTGACCCAGCCGGCTCAGCACTGAAGATGCACCGCAAGGTGCCAGGCTCTCAGTGCAGCCGCCCTGGCGCTGGCCCTGCCCCGGCCCAGGCAGCGAGCCGGGCTGACCCTGGCTCTGCCGGCAGGAGCACCCTTCCCAGGATCGGGGACGTCATCCAGAAGCTGGCCCCATTCCTCAAGATGTACGGCGAGTACGTGAAGAACTTCGACAAGGCGCTGGAGCTGCTCAGCACCTGGGAGGAGAAGTGCCCCCCCTTCCAGGAGTTCCTCGCGGCCATCCAGGTGAGGCGCC